TAAAGTGGCCGGTGAGTGTATGTGCGTAAGATCACAATCTATGACTTCAGAGATTAAAAGCTGACTTTGGTAGTTCTGGGACTGTCCTGAAGTGGCTGTCCTTATAAATACAGAATTCACTGTGCATATAAACACTTTCTGTCGGAAGCAACTCCTTTAGAGTAGAGTTCTCCTCAGGGATGTGTCTTAAACCCAGTTTTGTTTTTGTTAGTTAGACCTCTTGGTAAAATTATCCGCCAATATAAAATTTCTAACATCCGTTTGCTGATGATCGTCCACTTCACTCTTCATTCACACAGTCAGAGACTGTTATAAATGTAAAGGCGCACTGAAAAATCCCTGCAATTAAATTCAGAGGCTGTGACCTTTGCTCCAGATTAGAAAATTCCCTCAGCTTGGTTTTCGGGGATCCTCTGTTAGGTTGAACATTTGAAATCTTAGGGCTTAAAAGCTGTTCTAAACCCTGTTTTTATCATGTAAGAAATATCCAATCCAAGGCCAAATGTGTCTAAGGTTCATCTTGAAAGCCAGACTCTGGCCTTTATTTCTTCTTGTTTGGAATATTCCAGCTTTCTTTTTAATTGTTTTAGCAAAGTGGACCTTAAGCCCCTTTTCCACTGAAACCAGCAGGATTAAAAGCCTCTCGATTTGCTTTACCCTGCTGATAGAAATTCCAGGGAATTCATCAGCATGTTGTACCTATTTACTTTAAAAGCTACAGGACATTCAGCCTAATAGGAATTACAATTGCATTGGAAGGAACAGTCAGTCATTCTGTAGAGTAGAGAAACAAGCAATACCTGCTCTCCTCTACAGCAGGAGATAAACAAACATGGCACTCAGGTATGGTACAAGTATGGAACTGTTTTATTTGGAGAACAGATTTTCTGATCCTGGAAAAACTCCCCTTTAAAATCCTGTATGCAAAATAAAAGTAATACTTTATGTAACCCATTTTTTTCCCTACAGAGGCACCAATATCTGAAATGATGCTAATTCAGGCGGAGAAGGCTGAGCTTTTGGCATTTTGTTGTTAGAGCTTCTAAAACATTTTCAGTTTGCTTCATCACCTGCAAAGAGATGTAAAAAGAACAGCACAACCAACAGACATGGTACAAGATATACAATAA